AGGCTTATGAACCAGTAGTTTCTGAGGTCTCTTCTGAAAGAAATCCTTTCAAAAAGCTGCTGTTGCATTTTCTCTATTTCAGACCTTGGTTAATTAAGAAGATTTTAGGTGAGAGGTTATGAATATCATTAAAAATGAATTTGATTGTTTAAACTTTAGTTTCTTTTGTGCTCTTGCTGAATGCCACCTGCTCTTGTTCTTTGCATGTTCCATGACATCCTTTATCAACAGACCATCTTGTGCATCCTCTCAAAGAGGAGCTCTGGCTTTCCTCTATACTTTCTTCTGGGGTAAGGTAAGAATTAATCTAGCCTTTCTGCTATGACCTTGTTTTATCTGAATGTTTCTTTCAGATCTTGATCAACCCCACTGGCTCTCTGGCAGGCAGACTTCCTGCCTGTCACAAGACAACTTTGGGATTTGGTTTTGGTGCTTTTTAAACATTGTTCTTCCACTTTTTGGCCTGCTTCTTGTGCCATTTGCATTTCATCAGCCAGATTTTCTACTTTCCTCATTTGGGCTGATCTTCAGATTTTTCAAAAGGATACCTACTTAATTCTAGCAAGTTTTTCTCTCTGATGCTCAGTCCTTCCACCTTTTCCTTCCTGATCGTTCTCAAGTCCTTGCTGACAAGCAGGTCTGCCCTGCACCTCCAGCACAGTGGACACCAATGTGCTGGTCTGTTTAGGAGGATATGACTCTCTTGGCTCTTCCTCAAAGGCAGTTTTCTAAGAAGGTCCCTTTACCCAGTTCCCCTGCCTGAGGTCAACGCAGTGATCATGAATTTTCTGCCTCCTGTTGCTCTTGCAAAGAGGTTGGATCTAGAGCATGCTGTGGTCTGCAACAGAGGCTCTGTGATCATGAATTTTCTGCTTCCTGTTGCTCTTGCAAAGAGGTTGGATCTAGAGCATGCTGTGGTCTGCAACAGAGGCTCAAAGGTGGCAGCCTGATGGAGGTGTACTCTGACTCATTTCTTCTCTGGGAGGCTCCTTAAAGAGCTGCCCCATGCAGCAGCCTTGATTGCATCTGAAAATGCAGTCTGCCAGGCACACCTTGGGCCACACAGGGGGTGGCTGAATCCATCAGTAACTTGTAGCTGAAAGAAAAGGCGAGGGCTTCAGATCCCAGTGTCACAAAGCCTGGGTCTGGGTATCAGACCCCTGCCAAGGTCAGAGGACAGAGGCCACTTTCTTCCCCTGGTTTTGTTGATTTAGCAGGTTTTTCTGGCACACTGTGCTGTGAGAGCCAGCGGAAGGGCAGGGGTGAAACCTATGGCTGGGAGGAGGAGGAGAAGCTGAGGGGCAGAGTGAAACCAGCTCCCCTGGGCAGTGGCACACCATTAATTCAGGAGTACCCTGGAGACGGGAACAGTTCTTACCACTCAAGAGATTATTTCACTGTCCTTTCTAAGGGTCTAGTTTTCCTTTCAGGAGCCTAATTGCTGAGCCCACAGAGGACTTTAAGCACTAATACTGACACTTGTTCAATAACTCTGAGCAAAGGTGGCAAAACCAGGTTTTGGTGCCTGAGGGCTGAGGGGCTGGTGCTTGGCTGGAGACAGAGGGAGAGAAAGGGGGCAAGGAGGAGGTGGTGATGGTGGGGCTGGTGGGTGGCAGGGGGGGAGAGAGACAGGGATCAGCTTCCTGCTGCTGGGGGTCTGGAAAGCCTTAAAAATGCTTAAAAAATAATAATAAAAAAGGCTTTAACCTGCCAGAGGGGAGACTGAGATGAGCTCTTAGGCAGAAGCTCTTCCCTGTGAGGGTGCTGAGGCGCTGGCACAGGGTGCCCAGAGAAGCTGTGGCTGCCCCATCCCTGGCAGTGTTCAAGGCCAGGTTGGACACAGGGGCTTGGAGCAAGCTGCTCTAGTGGAAGGGGTCCCTGCTCGTGGCAGGGGTTGGAACTGGATGAGCTTTAAGGTCTCCTCCAACACAAACCAGGCTGGGAGTCTATGGAAGCTGCCATGGTTGGGCTTGCAGCCAGTCAAGCCCTGCTGCAGAGGGCTCAGCCTTGAGCTAGCCCTAGTAACAGGGATTAGGAGAACGACAGTGCCTGAGGGCAGCTGAGTGAAATCCAACAGTTAAACAATCCTTACACAAAGGGAAGGAGTGTCCGGTTGGGGCTGCACAGCCCCCTTGATGCTGATGGTGAAATAAGGGGTCCAGCAGAGAAAAACTGGGCTGCAGCATAGAAACTTACTTAATTTTCAAAATGCACTCTTTGTCCTCTTCTGTCCCTCACCTTTTTTCCTTGTGTTTGTTCCCACTACACCGATGAAGGTTTTCTTCACTAAATTCAAAGTGTATTTGTGTGGCAGGGGCGGCTTTAAAAGCACAATCATGTCACGGTTGTTGATGATGGCAGAGGACGGCAGCCTCTCTTGGGCAAGATTCCATTTTACTGTGGCTGGATTTTAAGCAAGGACTGTAAACATTGGGTCAACGAGATTGGCCACTTTCTCCATTAACGCGATCAGCAGGACTTGCCCTGATGGCAGTGATTCGGAGAAAACTCCAGGAACAAACTTGCCAACAGAGTTACAAGTTGACAAGCAGGTATTCTTTACTGGGGCGCCGGGAGACACGGGGGATAGCTCCTCCTAACGGGTGTCCCCGCATTGCTATACAGGTCATCTTTATACGGTCACGAGCATATTACATCATTTTCCAAAAAGTTTCCGGCATGCATACAAAATATGGTGGTCTTTAAGGGTCGTTTACTTTTCCCAACAAGCTTAATTCACATTACAGACATTGCAATCATCCTGGCCTCTACTTATCAGTTAGTTTAACTGCTCTCATCCTGGGCATCTGCTAGTCCGGGATACTCCCTAGTAGGTGCTTACACCACCTTAATGGGTTTATTAACACCTCAAGCATAGCAATCATCCTGTCCTTTTACTTATCGGTTAGTTTATCTGTGCCCACCCTGGACATCTGCTAGTCCCAGATACTCCCCAGCCCCAGGTCCTGTCCTATTCTGCTTTTGTCACACCTTTTGTACTGAGATCCTGAGGGCCTGAACCTATGTCAGCTACCTTCAAGCACCGCAGTTATTTTCCATTACAAAGCCATCAAACTTAACATTACTTAGAACTGATTGCATTTTGTACTTTTGTGCCTCCTTGTTTCAGCAGACATCGAGTTGTGTCACCTTCTGGGAGGCGAGCCAGGGCTGCCCTTTGACTGCGATGCTCCAGGGCACACTAAGCAAACCTACCTCTGTCAGGTAATGCTTCCCATTACAAAGCAAGACTAAATGCTGACATGAGGTAAGTGGGATTCAGATGCTGCTTCTGAACTTGCTTCTGAAGTGCCTGCAAGGAAAGATTTGAATTGCAACACAGTTTGTTCAACTCTAATTGCATAACAGTTGTAGTAACAACGGCTTATGGAAAAAAATCAGTTCTCTGTCTTTGGTGTTCTGCTGGCTTCACCGACATGAAGGATTTGATTGCAGAAGCTATAGTTTCTTGTTGACTTTAATTAAATTTATGACCGTTTGGCATTACTGGAAATACAGAGCTAATTCATGAGCTGCATCATTGTAAAAAATGTTGTTAGTTTGCTGTAATATGACCAAGTATTACTTTTAAAATATGTTTTAGTTGTAGAGATAGAAATAGCAGCCATTTATGTCCGCAATATTTCTATGGACTCCCTGCCAAATAAGCTCACAGGCAAGAGTGCTATGTCAAGTAGCAGAGTAGCTGCGCCACCACTACCCATGCATACTATCCCTTTCCATTTGATGTTGCCAGAGGAGCCTTAGGAGGTTTTTCTTAGTCTGTTTGGGTTTGGTGCATCTTGGAATTTCATCTCTCCAGTATGCTCCTGCAGACTTTTTTCTCTTCTAGTTCCATCACAGAAAATAATGAGAGGGTAAATCAAGCAGAGTGAGTGCTAATAACCGCAGTGCTCAGTGTGGGCCCCAGCCCACATGCTCAGCACCAAAGAGCAGTGTTTCTTCAGAAGAGCCTGCTGTTCCTCCTTTTGCTTTTCTTGGACACACAGTGCAAACCACTGAAGCACTTTTCTGAGCCTACTGCCAGTGTCAGCAAGTTAACAGTCTCCCTGAGATCGTTCACTACTGACCCAAACTCCCTCGTTGGAGATAATGCTGCCTGGATAAGGCCAGGATGCGATAGGTACAATATAAACCCTAGGTGAATACAAGGCAGTGGGGTTCCACTGGATAGTCTACGCATGTTGGTGTGTGCCGCCCAGGTCCTTGGTAGGAAGATGCTGGATCTTGGCACTGTCCAGTGAGTTTAGTTTCAGATCCCGGTGATAACAAGTGCAGCTTTGAAGACTGTGAGCTGCAGCTATGTGAGGGATGTGGCTCCTGGCATGTAATCGCACAGAGAGCAGTAGGCCCCGGCTGCACTGGGGCCACGGGCAGGCAGCAGGGAGTGGGGTCAGGCAGGGTAGGCAGCAGGGGGGTTGCAGGCAGCGGGGCGGTGCAGGCAGGGAAATCAGAGTGGGGGCTGAAGGCTGGCCAGGCAGTGAGTGCAGGCAGGGTAAGCAGCAGGGTGGGGTGCAGGCAGGAGAGGCAACTGAGCGGGGGCAGGCAGGGCTGGCAGCAGAGTGGAAGTGCAAAGGGGGCAGGCAGCGGGAAGGGTGCAGGGAGCGAGAAGGGTGCAGGGGGGGCAGGGAGCGGGAAGGGTGCAGGGGGGGCAGGCAGCGGGAAGGGTGCAGGCAGCGGGAAGGGTGCAGGCAGCCGCATCCCAGCCAGGCAGCTCCGGGGAAGCCGTGTGTGACCGGGCCGACTCCCAGGTGCCGGTGGCAGCAGCCCCCGTGGGTACGTGTGTCACCGCACGGCGCTGCCCGGTGCCCCGGGGCCGCAGCGGGCGGGGAGCGGCTCCCGCAGCGCCTCGGCTCCCGCCTTCCTCCTCCCACTCCGGCTCCGCGGGGTGGGGGCGCGGGCCCGGCGCGGGCTGGCGGGGCCGCGGCAGCACCTCCCGTGGGACACCGCCCCCTTCGGCCCGGCCCGGCCCGGCCCCGGCGGCGGAGGGCGGGTGGCGGCGTCGCGGCTGCACCTGCCGGGGCTCGGCAGGACTGGTGGAGCCATGCCGGCGGGCACGGCGCTGGGGCTGGACGTGCCGCTGACTGCCGCGCCCGGGCGGGACAGCGGCGGCGCGCACCGATACACAGGTACGAGCGCAGAACGGCCCCGCGCGGTCCCCAGTCCTTCCTCTTGCAAGTTCCTCCTGCGCCGCACCGAGGGCAGCGCTGGGCCCAGGGCAGGGTGCGGGACCTTCCCCTCCCGCCCACCGCGTAGGGATGCGGCATCTCTGGAGCGAGGTGCGTGTCCGCGGGGGGGGGAGGCGCGGGACCCGGCCCGGGCTTGCGTTACGTCCCCGCCCGCCCCTGCAGCCGCAGAACCCCTCCCCAGGCAGGGCACCCCCTGCCCCTTTCCGTGCGGGATCCGCGGCCGGTCCCTGCGGCCCCGGAGGGCGGCGGGAGGGGATCCTCGGCCCCACTCTGAAGTTCCTGGGGACACAACGCCCCGGGCGAGTGTCCCGGAGCCGCCCTGGGGTTCGGCGGGGTCCCGGCGGCACGGGCACGGCTCTGCCGGGGCTGGGCTCCCGGTGTCGGGCGGGAACGGCGGCTCCTGCGGCCAAAGGCTGTGGTGGCCGCCCCGGAGGTGCGGGGTCAGGCGGGGCGGAGGCCGGGCCGGGCATCCCCGGTGATGGGTGTCCCAGCAGGGGAGCTCCTGCCCAGAGCCACCCTGGCCGGTTCCCCCGGTGCCTCAGCAGGGGGCTGCTGGAGCCCGGCAGGAGCTCGGGGCAGCGGCTCTGCCGGGGGGTCCCCAGGCAGCCCCTCGCTGCGTGGGCCTCTCCGGGGTTTAATTAATTCGGGTGAATAGGAGGCACTGCCGCTGATGTTTTTTTTCGGGTTACTGGGGCGCCCTTGGGGTGCTGCGGGCTGAGCAAGCATCCCTGCGAGGAGGGAGGTGTACAGCACGGCAGTCCTGTTCGAAAATGCTGGTCCTCAAAAAGAAACCGACGCCGGGCAGATGTCAATTGACTGGGTAGAAAATTAAGAGTGGTGTTTTAATGGAATAGGACAACACACTGAGGAGTGGAATGAAAAACCAACCAAAGCTTTTTGCTTCCTTTTCTTTCTCTCCCCACTTAGCTTTGGTTTTAATTTTGATCCTGTAGATGACAACATCATTTCAAAACGTCTTTGACTCGAATTAACTTCATCCCATTAATTTGATGATGACGAGAGCTGATAGAGGGTCTGGCCCTGACATGGGTGGCTGTGCTCACTGCAAAGGGGCTGCAGCCCCTCCGGGCAGCTGGCTCTGGACGGAGGCAGAGCTGTGGCTACCAGCAAGCCTGAAGCAGGAGTACAGGTGGATGAGGAGCCAGTGGGAGCTCCAGGCAGCTATGGGTGAGCAGTTTTCATAGAATCCTGAAATCCCAAACTGGTTTGGGTTGGAAGGTCCTTAAAACTCCAGCTTCAACCCCTGCCATGGGCATGGACACCTTCCACTAGAGCAGCTTGCTCCAAGCCCCTGTGTCCAACCTGGCCTTGAACACTGCCAGGGATGGGGCAGCCACAGCTTCTCTGGGCACCCTGTGCCAGCGCCTCAGCACCCTCACAGGGAAGAGCTTCTGCCTAAGAGCTCATCTCAGTCTCCCCTCTGGCAGGTTCAAGCCATTCCCCTTGGCCTGTCCCTACATCCCTTGTCCCAAGCCCCTCTCCAGGTTTCCTGCAGCCCCTTCAGGCACTGGAGCTGCTCTCAGGTCTCCCCTTCAGGAGCCTTCTCTTCTTCAGGCTGACGCAGCCCAGCTCTCTCAGCCTGGCTCCCTGCCCAAGTGCACATAGCAGTATAGACAGGGTTTTCCCCTGGCTTCAGCGCAAGCAGGTCTGGGTGCTCCTGAAATACAGGGAGCCCTTCTTCCGACAGGCTCCCTGACTTAATGTGCTTATGCAATTCTAACAGACTTTATCAATGACCTGATTTTGTTGTGCTGATACAAATGAGCAAATGTGTTTGAGCTAAAAGTGTAGCGGTGCTTTAAATTGCACCCACTGAATGTGCTTAACTGTGCATTTAGTTTGAATTTAATATGGCAGTTAATTTTAAAAATGCAAAACAACTTCTGGGGAACCTGTGCTTAGAGAATTAACAACTCAAGTACAAGTGTGGACCCTGGTGCTGTTTGATGCTAATGTTACTAGTTATTGACTTTTTTTCTTTTGTAAAATCATATATATTTGGCTGCTTTTATTTGCTCTGTTAAATTGTCTTGTCAGGCAGGGTTTGCCCACAATTAAAGTGAAGTTAGAAGTGGCATTCCCATGTTATGCTCAGCCTTTCTGTTCCTGCCTTGGCTAATCTTGACCATGTAGATCCTGGCACACCCAGAAATTCATGAACTTCAAAAAAAAAAAAAAAATTGTCATTCAGACTAGAAATCCACCCCCAATTAATGCTCCTGATCGCTACAAACCTGACCTCTCTCAGCCAGGTCTCCAAACAGAACAACAAACAAGACTTTTTCCATGCCAAGTACACCAAAGCTGTGGAGCTGTTCTCAGGGAGGTGCTCAGTTGGAGTAAGAAGTGAGCATGGAGGATGAGGGCATGGCTTATGCCTGCCTGTGACTGCTGCATCCCCTGTAGGACCAGCAGATGCTTCTGGCACACGGGGCTTTGCTAGCTCTTTGCTGGGTGTCATGCTCCTTCATAACCTCTCATTGTCCTGCTGCTTTCTGGAGGTTTGTCACAGCCTTCACCATCTGTGCAGATTTCCCATTTGTTGACTATCCACTTGTTACTATGAATGTATTGAGTTAGGTGGACGTTGTTGGTGATCACTTTTCATGCTGCTTTGATTGAGTGCACCCCCCTTTGTAAAATTTCAGGCCTCGCACATTCCTTTTGCAGAGAATAAAAAAAAAAGTGACAAGATTCTCATTTGAATCAACACATGAATGAGAGAGAAGTTAAAGGAAGTTCCCCAGCACAGCCTGTAAGCTCTTAAAGGGTCTTGCAGCTTTCTGAAGCACAGCTGTGAAACTCAAACACCCTCTGCTTTTCTTGCAGTTTGAGGTTTAAAAACTGCATAGATGAGGGCCTCAGTGACGTGGGTTACTGGTGGCCTTGGCAGTGCTGGGGAACAGTTGGACTTCGTGATCTTAAAGGTCTTTTCCAACCTGTTTGATTCTATGGTTCTATGATTCTATGACTGGTTTCCCTCTCTGACAGTCTCACCCTGAGCAGGGAGAACTATTCCACCCCATGCTCAAGGAGGTTCAGCAGCACATTTGGAAAAGGAGCTGTAGGAGCCTGGCTTACACCTTGGGAAGGGCAGCGTGTTGCTCAAATACTCTGTGTATTAGAAGGGCAAATGTGCATGGGGTGGGGGAAAAGTGCAGCGATATATCAATGCTAAGAAGAGGCCTTCTTCAATTCAGCCTCTTACATTTTTAAATGATACAAATGCTTTTATGTGTTCCGTATCGTACTGTGGTTATTTTGCTGTCAATGGCAGGATTACAGTATTATTGCCTTTCTGCAGTAGTTTATTATGGACAGATACTCATTGACCATCTTTTGCCAGACCATTCTGTTATCTGGAAAAGCCTCTGCAGTTCTGGAGTGCTCATGTCAGTGGTGGCCAGAATGCTTCCCTGCCCTGTGGGAATCGCCATCAAGTGGGTTTGCGGCCGCCAACCCAGCTTTGCCACTGAGTTGCTATTGCTTCTGAGATGCGCAAATTATACTGGGAGGTCTTTGGGTGCAATAGGAAAAAGAGGAACGAATAACAGAGCTGTATCGTTATTTTTAGCCTCTGTGGTGCTGAAGCTGGGGGCTCTGGCACTCTTTTTCTGGGGTGATACCTCGGGTTTTGCTGTGATTCCTCCCTCATTCCTTAAAGCAATCTTGTAGCTCTTTTAGACCAGGGCTGCACATACTTCTTTAAACATCTAGATGCATCTACAGACATCAGTGCAGACACAGACAAAGGGAATATAGGGAATAAATGTAGAACATGACAGAAAAAATCATTTTGCCAGGTTGTGAATTCTTAGGTCTGGTGCTGTGGTTCTGCTTTGTCCCTCTGCCTCCCTGTACCAGGGACAAAGAGAGGCTGCCTAAGGTGAGGTGGAACGTGCTGCAGGACCCTGTGAATGCTACCCCAAGACTAAGTCATGGAAGAAATGATCTAGCAGACACCATTTAAGGGAAGAGACATGATCTCTGGTTTGGGACAGACACAAGCTGCATTTTGCTGAAGGATGGAAGAGGTATCACTGCATGTTTGCTTGGTTATACTCTGTGACTGGTAGTGGCTGTGGTGGGAGGTAGGTACCAGGCTGGGTGTACCCTTGGCATGACTTGAGGTGTCTCTTCTTTTGTTATGAGCAACCTTTATTTTCTGGAGTGAGTTTCCTTGCCAGTGCAGGAACAGTAAAATTGTGACACTGAGAGCTTACAGTTTCTCTTCCAGGAAAGCAAAAGCGAAGTTGTTTTTCAAACCCAAGAGCACTGCTGCTCTGCAGAAACGCTGCAAGGAGGTTTCTCGCATTGTTCCTGCAATCCTGAGACATGGCTCAGTTTTTAGGTTGGGGAAGAAAACATTGATCCTGAATTTTCAATTTCACAGGGTAGAAGATGGCATGTCTTGGAATACATGGACTTGTGACTTTTTTCAGGGTTATTTCTCCTTCCTTCTTCTCCCGTGAGATCAAAGTAAAACCTTTTATTAAATAGGGTAAAAGAAGTGACAGTTGCAGAATTTCAGCTAATTGGTTTTCTCTCCTATAGTGCAAGGTGCTAATATTAGTGGTTAGGCATTTGCACCAGGCATTGTTCCTGCTTTGAGGCAATGATTTTCGTGCTTGTAATGAACACTCTAAACCATTGCAAAATAGAAAAAGAAAAGAGTTATTAGGTCTTCTGGCACATTCTTTCACAGTGCAAGATTGTTCCCTGTGGTTTTCTTCAACACTGTGTTCTAGCTAGTCTTAAATTACCTAGGTTATAGAGGTGAATTATGTCTAGACTTCAGAATTTCAGCTAGGGAATGAAAGGAGCTGAATGTTTTGGACCCAGAACATTTGACATTTCAAAAATCAGAAATCAGCCTTAAAACACAAAACCAAAACCACCCAAATGACAACAGGTAATCTAGCACTTTCTGGGTTAGTTGTGACCAGAAATGTGGTTCATTTTAAAGAGCCAAAGCACTGCTGATTTTGCTGTTTCCACAGTGACAGAGTGAGGAGGTCTTTGGATGTTTCTTGTGAGAAAGTGAAGCCTCCCATCACATGTCTGCAGCTCTACAACAGAGAACTTCAGCTGTGCTGAAATTAGCACCGTTCATCTTATTTAGTCATGATCGGCACTGACTTACATGCCTGCCCTAAGAGTCTTGCCTTCAATAATCTGATGGAGACAAACCAACATGTAGGACAGTTGTTAAGTTTTCATTTAGGCATATTATTGACATGCTGTCTTTCAAATGCAGTCACAGATAAGCAAGTAGGTTATTCTGAGGAGCAGTTTTGACTGGCTCAGTGCTTCAAAAGATTGACAGAGATGATTTTGCAGTACTGGTGGAAGTCTGCTTTGAGCATTTTGTTTTGGTTTGTTTTAAGATGACAGTGAGAAATGCAGAACTTGCAGAATGAGCAATTGCTCACCAAAATAAATCATAGAATCCCAGAATCCCAGAATAGTTTGTGTTGGAAGGGACCTTAAAGCTCCTCCAGCTCCAACCCCTGCCACGGGCAGGGACCCCTTCCACTGGAGCAGCTTGCTCCAAGCCCCTGTGTCCAACCTGGCCTTGAGCACTGCCAGGGATGGGGCAGCCACAGCTTCTCTGGGCACCCTGTGCCAGCGCCTCAGCACCCTCACAGGGAAGAGCTTCTGCCTAAGAGCTCATCTCAGTCTCCCCTCTGGCAGGTTAAAGCCATTCCCCTTGGCCTGTCCCTACATCCCTTGTCCCAAGCCCCTCTCCAGGTTTCCTGCAGCCCCTTTAGGCACTGGAGCTGCTCTCAGGTCTCCCCTTCAGGAGCCTTCTCTTGTCCAGGCTGCCCCAGCCCAGCTCTCTCAGCCTGGCTCCAGAGCAGAGCTGCTCCAGCCCTCGCAGCATCTCCACGGCCTCCTCTGGCCTCTCTCCGACAGCTCCACGTCCCTCCTGTGCTGCTGCCCCAGAGCTGGATCAGGGCTGCAGGGGGGGTCTCCCCAGAGCACAGCAGAGGGGCAGGATCCCCTCCCTGAGCTGCTGCTCACGCTCTGGGAGTGCAGCCCAGCACATGGGGGGGTTCTGGGCTCAAGCACATGCTGCCAGGTCACAGGGAGCTTCTCCAGTCAATTCGGGTGTCTGTTGAGTGTCTCAGAGGTGGGTTTGAGCTGGTGCTTGGTTTATATACAAGCTTTTGCCACCAGAGTGGAGCCTCTCTGATAGGTACAGGGATGCTGGCTCCACAG